CCAGGGTTTCTGTTTTATATGAGTAAGAACAGAGTTTTTCCTGATCTCTTAAAACTGAACATTGAACTACAACATTGTACACAAAAGTCAAGTAGATATGTAGAAATTGCCACAGTTCTGGCATGTATTGTACTCGTAAACTAACACGATTATAGTGATTATATTACGAAAATCTTAGTATGATAATTTCTGGTAATATTTATATTTCTTGTAACGACAAATAAAAGTTGTCCACGAAGCTGAGTAATATTTTTGTTATAACGTGAATATTTTTAGCTTTTATATTGTTATCAATGCCTTTCTATAAAGTAGTACAAAAGAGGAATGTGATTAAAAATATAGATACTGAATTTAGTTGTTGTTCACTGAGAAATAAAAAAGTTTTATATCTGTACATATAGCACACTTGTATAATCAAATAAAAACAACGTATAAATTATAATTTTGGTATATATATATATATATATGCATTTATATACTTGGGTGTCTACCAAGAATATAAATTAATTTATACTACAGTGTTACTTTTAAAATCATAATATTTTAAAAAGTGACTACCGTACCCTCAACTGGCTGTAGACGTTGAATGGTATTAGGTGTTCGAACGTTGAGGGTTGAAGGTTAAAGCACCCCACACCTAACACCTAGCTGATCTTCTGTGACAACTATCTCGTGGTATCTAGTCAGAATATTTCTAAAGTGTTTGGTGCAGACATTTTCTTTTAATCATTAAACTTTTTGTACTTAATTGACATATGGTGTGACTTTAAATTTTGTGTTATGCGTGGCTAGTTACACGTGAAATTTTGATAAGTTTGTATACTTGAAATTGTGTTATGAGTAGTGGCTTTAGATTTGAATTTCACGACATCTTGGTTTTGGTTTAACTTATGTTATAGTCACGTTCTCCATTGCAGTAAATAATGTTGGCGGTAACTTTTCTTTCTGACACTTATTATACACCATTAAGATGCACATCGCCTGGTCTGAGAACAACTGATATAAATAACCACGGGTTTCGTTTGTTGTTCTTAATTTTATAGCTACTTAATGAACTATCTGTCCTCTGTCCATCGTGGGTATCGAAACCAAATTTTAGCGTCTGCAGACTTGTCGCTAAGCCACTAGGGGGCAACCATGGGTCATAGATGTAATCACGAGGAAAAGGATACAGGGGTTTAGGACCCCTCCCCTCCGAAACGTCAGAGAATATCCTTTTTTTTCTAGTTTTTATTCTTTCGTTTTCAACATGCTTCCTAGCTACGTTCGGCGCTGCTACAGGTCTATTTAATAATTTGTTTTTGTTATTAACATGTATTGAGTCTTTTATATATTGTGAAGGAAATAATTAGAAAATTAACTTCACTCATTTAATTCATCGTTGTTGTTTTCCTTAGAGCGCAGTTACACAATGAGTAACTCATTTAGAACTCTAATCAAAAACTAACATCTCAAATGAAAAGTTAGTCATATGCTGTCAATTTTCAGAAAAACCAGCACGTCATTTGAAAGGCAATATTGAAAATATTTACCATTGAGAAAACACCACCAGTTTTCTAGTCGACATGAAAACATTCCTGTTAAGGACTATAGAAACACTTTTAGTTCATGTTAAGGAGTATGGAAGCACTTTTAGTTCATGTTAAGGAATATAAAAACACTTTTAGTTCATGTTAAGGAGTACAGAAACACTTTTAGTTCATGTTAAGAAGTATAGAAACACTTTTAGTTCATGTTAAGGAGTACAGAAATACCTGTGGTTCATGTTAAGGAGTACAGAAACACTTTTAGTTCATGTTAAGGAGTATAGAAACACTTTTAGTTCATGTTAAGGAGTACAGAAACACTTTTAGTTCATGTTAAGGAGTATAGAAATACCTGTGGTTCATGTTAAGGAGTACAGAAACACTTTTAGTTCATGTTAAGGAGTACAGAAACAATTTTAGTTCATGTTAAGGAGTATAGAAATCCTGTGGTTACATAGTTAAGGACGTAACAGATACGTACTTTTAGTTCATGTTAAAGAAGTACAAAAACACGTTTTTAATCAAGTT